TAGCACTTGAATTTTCAGCACTGATTGTTTTACTTGTAAATGCTTACAAAAGTACGCCTTCACAAATTACAAACGTTAAAATTTCAAAAATGACGTTGACATCAGATTTCAAATATGACGTTGATGACTGCTACTTACTTAATTTGCAAGAACTTTACTTTGAAAAGTTTCAGTTCCCCGTTCCAAAATATTTGGTTTTGTTGTCACTCGGCGTGTGCTAAAAGCTAATAGTTGTTGCATTTGGCAACTTTCTCTATCTCAGAGTGCCCGAAAATGCGAAAAATATCCAAACGGACCAAGCAACCCAATAGGCTTCTTAGGTGCCTTCAGTGTCGCCCATTTTTACCACTGTTAGAAGAATGCAAAAAACATCAAAGGTTTGAGAACATTTATATCACTTTCATTTATTTAATAATTGCGTGCCTGAGTACAAGTTACTCAAGTGCTTATCCTTATCCTAATCGAGAAACGATAATGTGTAACTATTGGAAATGTACATTAGGCAAACGGTGTGTAGGACTTTGTATCTCAATTTCTACCTACCCACTTCCCGATAGTCGGAAATGTCGTAGCCATTGTCCACTTGAGGCGATTTGAAAATTGGGGATAACCAAATGGCATCGATGCCACTCTCCCTTAGATAATCGAGCTTTTCGATTATTCCTAGAGAATCATCCGTTGATTTTTCAGCAGGCGCTTAAACCTCGCGTTACCTTGCAGATCTCCATTGCCATCGTTGTCGCTATCTTTGAAACTTCGGGGATAAATTTGGTAAAACACGCCCTGCGTCCACCAGTCATCACTCGTAAGGCCCAATTTGCTGTTGGTTTGTGCTGTTTTCCACGTCTTGGTGTAGCTTACCTCTCTAGTTGCTTTTGCGCCATAAAGCAGGCACAGTAACGCCACGAACAACACTTCCACACCCTTCATATTCACCTACTTTCTTACAAGTGGCTGTTTTCGATTTATATACTCATCTGACCCACTTGAAACACAATGGTATATGCTGAAAACGTGTGGCATTTGCGGTTCTATCGACAATAGTTGCAAGATTTCAATAGATTCTATAGGTACTAATCGTCTAAATTACGCAAGGATTCGGTTAACTATGTAATTGAAAAAATCATCATTGTTATCAAGTAAACAGTAGCTTAATCCAACATTTATTTGTACTGGGGATATTGGTTCAAACAGCCACAAATCCGCCATCCACATAGATGTTAGATCCGGTAGTCATGGAGGACATGTCGCTCAACAGGAATATGATGGAGTTGACCACTTCGTCGACCTCTCCAAACCTAAACAAGCCAGTATTACCTACTCCTCTCGGGCGAAAGTCCTGCATTCACTTGCCTTCTGAGCGGAATCTTCTGAATCATCGGGCCAGCCACAGCTGGATCGGACCATCCCAGGCGGCCCATATCGGTCAGAATCACAGTCGGATTCACATTGTTCACCCTTATTCCATGGGGCCCATATTCACTGGCCGCAGCCCGAGTGAACGCGTCCACCGCTCCCTTCGAGGCGCAATAAACCGCGTGGTCGATAAGTCCGACGACGGACGCTTGCGAAGAAACGTTCACGATCGATCCTGGTACTTTCCTGGCCAGCAGATTTTTTATCACCAGCTTGGTGATGTTGATCGTTGATTTTATGTTGATGGCAAACACCCTAGAAGTTGGTAATTGAGTTTGGCCTTTGCTTGAACCTGATGAGTTTTGTGTTCAAAGCATGGCAAAAATGGTCGAAATTTTCGTGTGATTACCTGTCGAAGTCCTCCTCGGTTACTTCAGTTAATGGGCCCAAAATTGCCAAACCGGCGTTGTTGACCAGCAGATCAACATCCCCGATTTGGCTAATCACTTGTTCAGTCTTCTTCCAGTCTGACAGATCAGCCGGGTAGATTTCGATGCTGGGAACCTCTTTTTGCAGAGATTCTGCAAAGCAAAAACTCATTGAGGGAATAGGAGTTTTCGATACAAGGGCGAAAAGTGTCGTTTTTCGACAACGACTAAAAATAGCCAAAAATAACAGCCGTCAACTTCATATTTAAAATTTTATGTCAATGCCATTTTTGAAATTGTCATGTTTTGACGTTTACGAATTGTTTGACGAATTTTTCAAAAGCATTACTTTGGTAAGCATATACAAGGGAAACAATGAGTGTTGGAAATTCAAGTGCTGCTTTCCCGGTTTGGTGTTTGTATCAGATGCATATTTTGCGTGAAATTTGCGCTATTTAAAAAAATTTGACCGACATTGAGACTGAAGTTGTAACAAAGATATAATTTAGAAATTGTTAGAAAACTTTAAATTATGATCAATAGTTGTCTATAAACCTACGAAATAACTTTTTAATGGAAATACTTTAAAATATTTTATGACAGTGACACGAGTGACATGTTCAATTTGTCACATTTACTTTTGTACTATTGTTACACAATTTATTAACATACTCTTTTTTAGGTTCATTTAGGTTCTTTTGATAACGATAGCAGAAAATAGCTATCGAAACGTCAAG